AGGGCCCCCACACCTGCTGTGTATTATGTGAAAGAAAAAAGAACTGGCTAATGTAGCTACTGATAATTTTTCTTTGTCTTCACAGGATTCTCTACCAGATAAACTGGCTGTCCATGAGAAAAATGTCAAAGAATTTGATGCCTTTGTAGAGACCTTACAGTAAAACGGCTTATTCTACAGCAGCATTGAACTTTTTAGACACCCTGGAAAAGGAAGCCCATGCATTCTGCATTTCTTCCCTTAGTGTCTTGTTCTGTCCCCGTCCCCCAATTTCGTAGGCACTATTGCTTTGCTCTGTCAGGTGCAGAAACAGTGGTCTGTATCTCTTTGAACTAGTCCTTGGGAAGGGTGTGACTTGCTTTCCTACCCGTGTGAGGTTCGTATTGAATACAGTGTATTAGGAAACAAGATCAAGACCCGTTCTTCTTCCGTTTTCTCATGTGTTGAGAGACACTGATGCTTCTTCCTCCCTCAACAGGGCTCTACAATCTGGTTTCCTGGGGACAGTCTTTTTCCCTGCATCTGCAGTAACGCCAAGCAGAAATAACTCTGACGAAATGTAACTGTCTTGTGAGCACTGTAGATTCTGCTAGCGTGGTTCAAACACCGGCTTGCCTTCAGCAAGTGCAGCTAAAACATAAGGGCAAGGGGCCGTTTTTCACCAGTGGTGCCCTAAACAAAGCAAACATAATGTTGCACATCTGTGTGGAAACAAGAATTGAGGGGCCTGACCTGATTGTCTAGTGCAGTTTCAAAGTAAGCCACAGACGCTAAAAGAATTGTTTTTTGTATATTACCTGCCAACACGGTGTGTTTCAATATATTGCCTCCCCAAGACCACAAGCATGGTCTGTGGCATTTGGAGAAGATCCAGAGTTTGTAGGCTGTGTTTACAGTCAGCAGTTGTAAATATGAATTAGGAATCCTAATTCTCTAGGGTTATTTAATTTTTTGGGGGGGTCTTTAGTCCAAAGTTCTTTCCTCTATTCCCCTCAAATGTTGCTGCTCTATCATAAAATAAGAAATATTTATTACTCTAAAGGAAACCTATATTTAAAAAAAATGTATGTGGATGCTTTCACTTTGTAAAGTAGCCATATAGGCTGCTTTGTCCTTTGTCACTGCAAGTATGTTGTTCCAAACAGCTGTCATTTCCCCCACTCCCGTTTGCAGGGTAAACTATAATACTTATTTTCAGAAACAGACATGGTTATGCTTTCAAAGTGATCTCTTCTGGTGACTCGATTTCCATTCTGCCCTGTTGGGTCTGTGGATGTCATAAATAAAAATGCACGTTGATGCAGTGCACTGGTAGAAAGTTTCTAAAATGATTGTCTCTGACAGGCTTATACATTCGCTGTGGTCTGCACTTAGTTAGAAAGTAGCTTTTTCAGACAAGCACATTTTAAAGACGTTTGTGGTACTTGTTTTAATTGATGGGGTTTTGATTGGCTAAAAGTTTATTTTTCTAATGACTTAGCCATTAAGCAGTGTGATTGGCTGACATTGCTATGTGTTTGATCTGCCTGCTCTGTTCTTCACCAAATATGGGGAAGGAAAAACAACACTAAGCATCAGCTCAGGGATACGTTAGACTCTGGGCACAACTTATTTCTTCCTTTTCATTAGAAACCAAGCTGAGACTGCAATCCTGTGCAAACTTTCTTGCGAGTAAATCCCATTAAACTCTGTGGAAGTTAATTCTGAGGAAATGTGCTTAGGATTGTACTGTAAAATGCCGAAGACCATTCCCTGCAACCTGTTCTCTTATAAACTATTTCTTATGACTGCAGACATGAAGGACCATTTATGGTTTCCTGATTAAAGTAATGAGATGTTAACTTCCTGAAGTATATGGTTCCATTTCTTGTTGATGAAGGGGGTTTGTTTGTTTTAGGCAACAGCCATCATCTAACCATGTAACCTCTCTAGGTTTCTCACCCCTACTGCTGGACAGAAATGAGCTGAAGCTCCAATTTCTTGCCTTCAAGCATGTTGCTGTTTTGCATTACTAACTCTCAAAATTGTGAGTTTATTTATGTGCTCAAATATGGCATTTCAATTTGTATTCAAAGTAGCTACTGCCAATGCCTTTGCATGACACTGGTCCATGAAAAAACATGATCTAACCCCAGTCTCTGGCCAAAAGTGCTTCTGGGTAGTTGTCTTTGGCAGAAGTAATATCAATATCAAAACTACCCCTAAAAGTCTCTTGCAAAATGCCACAAACTGTATAATGTCTGATCCAGGGCCTTCTGTGGTTTGTTAGGTGCTTTGGGAATTCTTTATCCTTCTAGTCATACTGGAATATAGCACAACGAAATTATATTCCTATAATGACCTACAAGGTGACCAATGGTTTTCCCAAGACCAGCTGATGATGATAGTACAGTGGTACCTCTAGTTACGAACTTAATTTGTTCCAGAGGTCCGTTCTTAACCTGAAACTGTTCTTAACTAGAGGCGTGCTTTCGCTAATGGTGCCTCTTGCTGCCGCTGCGCCGCCAGCACACGGTTTCCGTTCTCATCCTGGGGCAAAGTTCTCAACTCGAGGTAACTCTTCCATGTTAGCGCAGTTTGTAACCTGAATCGTTTGTAACCTGAGGCGTTTGTTACTCAAGGTATGGTACCACTGTACTGCTATGGAGATAATTTTGTCTACATAAGTTGGCTTTAGTGCACTGACAAGAGAATCTGTTACGGGAACATCTGCCTGCTCTCTGGTTAGTTACTTGCAGAGTGGCTGATCCCGCTGCAATGATCAAGTGACATTTGCCTCCCTACCAGCCAAATTATAGTTACTAGATCACTCATAACTATTTTTTGCAGCTTCCCCCTGAAGTTTCTCCATATGATGGCAATGCCTGTATAGTTTCTCCTCTTCACGCCAAGATGCTGCAATAGTTAAAGGAAGTTAGCCAGTTGCTGCCTGTCCCAGTTACTTCAGACCAATATATGTCTGCACAGAACTGCCATGGAAGGGCCCAGTAAATACAGATGTGCCTCTATGCACGGAATATGCAGCGCTGCTGGGGTTTTTTATACTGCTTTCTTTGTTGTTTTCCAAGTCTTGCTACTTGGTTCAGTTTAGAGTACATTATTCCTTAGTTAGACCTGATCAAGATATTAATTTACTAATGTAGAACAGGGATCCAGTTTTTTCCCCCAGACTTTCAAAGAAAGATATCTTACTGCCCCTTATGTGGTACTTTATTGCAGTAAATGAGAATACAGTGGAACTCGGGTTAAGAACTTAATTCGTTCTGGAGGTCCGTTCTTAACCTGAAACTGTTCTTAACTTGAGATACCACTTTAGCTAATGGGGCCTCCCACTGCTGCTGCCGCCGCACCACCGCCGCACGATTTCTGTTCTCATCCTGAAGCAAAGTTCTTAACCCGAGGTACTATTTCTGGCTTAGCGGAGTCTGTAACCTGAAGCGTCTGTAACCCAAGGTACCACTGTACTTAGCTAATAATTTACAAGTGTTTTGGTTAAAAGGAGAAGGGTCCTCAATTATATTTCTTTAGAACTAATTTTCAAGAGTTTACTTTCCAATAAAAATGTTATGTCACTTACTTCAGCTGTCAGCCAGAGGCCTAGTGAAAAGTCTTATTTCAAAGAGATAGTTGGTGGAGCTGCTGGAAAATGCTAACTCTTCAACTACTTTAGTTACTGAAACTTGTATACTGCAATTATTTTTTTTAAATCAACGTGGTTTACAGCAATACTATACATACACACACAAAAAAACATTTAAAATCACAGGTCATCAACTACCTATATTCCAGACAATGTTTTTCTTATTATGCATATGTCTGATGCCATCAAAAGGTTTTGAAGGTGAATATTGAATATACCTATTCAATCTCCAGTGGAAGAGTATGCCACAAGATTGGGCCAATGGCATGAAAGACTTGGTTTCTTGTTGGTGTCAAATAAGCCATACCAGGGGATGACCAGCAATGTGCCTACAGAGGCACTCAGTAGTTGAGCTGGTTCAGATGGTCCCAAAGGAACCTCAGGCCCAAGTTGTTTAGTGTTTGTAAATTAACTACCAAGCCAAGTTCAACATCCTCGTATTCACAGGCAACCCGTGTAGATATTTTAATTAGTGTTGTCAGCCATGTTTCCCCATCAGTCTAGCTACCACAATCTGCACCAGCTGGAGGTTCTGCATCAGGCCCAAGGGCTAGCCACAGAAAGTTCATTGGAATGATCTAGCCTTGAGGTTACCAACACAGAAGTTGGTGGTAGTGCCATTCTTAAACCAAAAGCCAGTAAAAAAGGGGGGTCAAAGGAAGGGGCACATCCTCCCTTCACACAGGGGAAAACATTTGTCATACCCATTATCTAGCAAAGATTGATTTTCACCAGCTTTCACTTAGGGGAACATGATTGCCTGGGAAATGATCAGCTATGAGTTCAGGTTGGTGAACTTAAGCTGAATAAACCTTAAAACTAGGAACTTGGTGCTAGTTATGTTGAAGATGAATATACTATATTAAATACAGTGGGCCCACATGAGGGTTCAGTTCCAGGGGTCTACACTCAAAGTCAAGATTATGCACTCCCTTCCCCAAGCCCAGTAAACAAGGAATACCCTGCTGGGTGTGTGGGGTGCGGGATAAATATGCACAGGGTAGGGTTTCCCCAGCGCTCTATTTATTCCTCATCTGCATAAGGTGATTGCACAAGTAAAACAAGCACAAGTTGCAGGTTTACTGTATATAGCACAGACAGCTATGAAGCAAGTAATATAACAAAGTACAGCCTGAATAAAAGGTGGAAAAGTCCCATGATCCATTTACACCTACCAGACAATGCTACACTGGGCAAAGGATGAGCTCAAGGATGAACAAATAACCTCCCTGAAGAGGATTAGATTTGCATTTCACCACATACTCTATTGATGTATAGGCACCAGGTGGATGATACTAATCAGTCTCTTTTGTTGACTGATTCTAGAACAGCACATTGAAGAAAAACACCAAAACTGGTATTGGCTTTGGGTTTTTATTGAAGTACAAAAAGTGCAAACTGTGAAATACAAGATTGGTACCATTAGAAGGAAATAAACATGGGTGTGTAAATTAATGTCACAGTAAAAATAAAAATAAAAAACCCCAGCCCTGCTCCCAATAAACATCAAGGAGAACAAAAATGCAAGATAACAGCAACAAAAAGCAAAGCTGTAAACTCTGCATACAGCCCCTGGTGAAGAACACACAGCCAGGGGTCACTTGGCCATCAAAGACCTCTGCTGAGTCAGCAAAGAGACTTGCCATAAGGCAAAGGTGGAAAACCGGTGGTCTTCCAGATGTTGCTGGATCACAATTCCCATCATCCCTGAAAACTGGCCAGGCTGGCTATGGCTAATGGGCACTGGAGTCCAACATCTGGAGGACCACAGGCTTCCCACTCCTACCACAAGGCATCCAATTAGCTTCAGCATAAGCAGCACCACCCATAAGCTGATCTCACTACAGATACATGACTGACTGCTAGAGGTGAGAGCACAGAGTGTATTCAGGGGGTACCAAGACACTGATGGGCTTTATTAGGCAAGCAAAGGATACAATAGAGATGGAGCGCTCCACCCACAGAAGCACTGTGGCCAATATCTAACATGGAAGCTACATGACAAGGGGGCAGCCAAGCAGGTGTAGCACTGGAAGTTTGCAGGAGGACAGAAAGCAATGTGCAGCCATGGCGATCTAACCAGCTCTTGGCCTCTATTACAAGAGGAGCATGGAAGGACATATTTGGCCCTTTGAGATGCTGGTCTTCTAGTAATTCCAACCACTTGCTTGGATGCCTACCATCCTAATTCAGACAGCACACATGGCAGCAATCAAAAAAAGGGAAGGGGAAGGAAGTTCGGAGTTAACTGGCCAAAGATGCAAACTTAATTCGTAGGGTGCAGTCAGGCCTAGCATGCAGCTCCACCAATCGCCCACAATGGTAAGAGATTTGAAAATGGGGGGGAAATGGTGAGGGGAGAGGGCAATGAGGCAAAGCAGACATTGCTGCCATGTATGTACTCCGGGTGTCCTGGAAGCTCCCACAAAGTAGGGAAAGCAACAGAGCTATTTTACACTGGCTTACTTGCAGGGCTTTGTGAGTGCACTTTTAACTGTGTGCAGTAGCTAGCAATACAAAGATTTGCAATGTGTCTGGGGGTGGGGAAAATCACACACGCACACAAATTGGGAATCTGTGGACTTCATAAAAGTGTTACTGGGCAGCTATGACAGCACTTTCTCTCTCCTGCCTGATCTTGCTCCTAATCCTAAAAGATGAGGAGGAATTAATGTTACAGTGCAGTGGCTGAACCTGCAGCCTTGTCTCCTAAAGTGCCTGGGCCTTCCATTTCCAAGGCAATGATTTCCATGGAAACCAGCTGCTTCTCCTTCCAACCTGGGAACTTCGAACAGGAGCGAGCAAGTTAACCATGCTAAACTATTCTATACAAGAGATACTAGAAGGCAAAAGGCTCTTGCTTCTCCCATAGCCGTTCACTTGTTAGTGTTCTTGGTGAAAGCCTCTCCATGTCTCAGCTAAACAGAAAAATCAATGTTCCCAACTGCTGTGTTGTTCCAAAATTTCAAACTAAGTTTATATGTTACCAGACTGAACACTTCCTATATGCTGACTGATCCTGTACCTTACGTAGGATGATGAACTCTGACCAACACATTCGTCAGCTCCTCATAATAGTGTCAAGCACTTCAGTTCACCATTTCCAGCCATCTGCGACAGATGTGGAATCCAGTTCACAGGATCTGGCTGGGCTACGGGCACTGATAATTCACATGCAGATTTTAGTGCTCACTTTGTCAATTTTAAACCATAGCACAGTCCTTCTTTTATTCAATTTTAAACAGTAGCCTATTGTGCATTTACAAAACTCACCTTGCCAGCTTCCCTCTAACTGTCTTGTGACAGGAAGCCACAGGCTCTGGGAAGGTGGAGAAAAGTACCCCCAACATCTCTAATCCTGTGAACTCCAAGCTTGCCATTTTACAGGGCCAACTAATGGGTTGGGTGTGGACAAAATAGCCTTACGACAGTTGGCAGTAATACATTGTGAAAATGCACTTTTACAACACTATTAAAAAGCAAAAGCTTCTATAGGCCCAGCAGAAAACTGCTATTTTTGAGAGAAAACATTTGGCTTAAAACTTATTGTGCTTGGGCCAATGGCTTAGCCTAGTTTAGAGTTTAGAATAACTCAGCTTTCTGATCTGAAAGGGGGAACAACTCACATAGGCAAGAATCTATGGAATAACCATACTGCATGGCTGTATAACCTTTCTCAGGTCAGAGAAAAGAACAGCAATGCTTCCTATCTCCATGTGCCAAGGAAACCAAGGGTCCACCAGAGCCATTCTGGTATTCGTAAAACAACTATATTTCAGCTCAACAAGGACACAATGGCAGTGGTCCTTCAATGAGAAAACTCACCTTCCCCTAATTTTGGCACAAGATTGCCCAGTAGATTGGGGCAAGGAGGTTTCTGCATAAGGTTCTTGAGTTTGGCCTCAGTGATCTGTCTTTTGCTTGAGTATGCTCTCATCACAATGGTAAGGCAGCAGCAACCAGAGGCACAGATGTCTGTGCTTCAGTTACAGGAATGGGCAGTGTTTTAATCTGACCTTTGGCATTTTGAAGAGCTAATACCACCACAGCAGACACCCCCTGCATGACTCCTACCATCTGGCAGGGGGGAGAGCAAAACACACACAAAATCACTATCCCCCCCCAATGGAAAACCTTAATGGCAAGGCCAGTTTCGCAGAGACACTCTCTTCAGAAGGGCATTACAAAAAGATAGAGTGGGCTCCACAATATCTGAGGGCTCTAACCTTTAAATCATGGCAGGGAAATTGTAACAGCACCTACCACAAGTGCTAGAGTTCCTTGAAATGTACAAATATCTCTCTATTCAGAAACATGGGCACTTCCAGGACAAAGCAATCTTCTTTTATACCCCATGTTTTCCATAGGGCTTAGGGGGTCAGCTTTTCCATCAAGGGTAGCAAGCTGGTTGTGTTCAGTAGCGGCCGCAGCCTTCCAAAATGGGAATGCTCAGAACTGACTTGGGTGCATGTGGAGAACCAATGTGAGCCAAAGAAGAGAAGTAGAAATAGATTCCTCTCAGCCAAAGGGCCACTGCAGCAACACATATTAGTCCAGATCACACAGGCACCAAGAGGTAGGGATTCTGCTGGGGTACAAGAAGAGCTACTCGATGGGAGCAATTTGGGAAAGGGAACTGAAGGAATTAAGAGTAATCTGGACACTCCACTTCTAGAGATGGGGAGGCCAGCTTCCCAGCCCACTTGACCACCCCTTCTCTCTCTCTCTCTCTCTCTCTCTCTCTCTCTCTCCCTTCCTCTTTCACACACACGTACACACACACACACAATGCCATCTCCTTACACTTTTCTAAGCTTGGCCACGGTTCCAAGATAAAGTAGAAAGGAAAAGGGGAGGGGGAGGGAAGGAAGGAAGGAAGTGGTCACAGTGGACACATGGTGTGTCAGCACAAACAGGCTCTCAATCAAGCCTCCAAGCTCTGGAAAAGCTCCCTCTGGTTGTCCAGTAGGAATTTGCTGAACGTATTGATAGGATTAATGGCTTTGAGGGTAATGGCTGCATCTTTGGCCCACAGCAGGTTTGGGCCAAAAACGACGGCCAGGTTAGTGTTGGTCATCTTGTTGATGTCGCTGTTGGCAGAGACCTACGTAGGAGGGAGGAAGAAAATACTTCACTTTAGAGACAAATATATTTTGACTCTGTCTTCCCTAGTTCCTCACCATCTGCCTCTAGAAGCCTCTAGCTTATAAACAAAGGAACAGCCAATGGAAAGCATGCATGAAAAGATAACTTGCAGACGAGACACTAAAATGTGGCTGCAATAATTCTTGCTCCTTCACTGGCTGGAAATTTTAGCCTGAAACTCTTTTCTTCTATTGATTAATGGAAATAAAACCTACTTTTGCATCAACTCCTCCTTTAATCATTTAGGCTTCAAGCTTTCAGAGAGAAGCATTAACAGATTACTTAAATGGCAAAACAGATGTTGTAAATCATAGCCTTTTGCGGGGTGCAACAGCAACAACCCCACCCCATTGGCTGTCCCCAGCATCAAGTATCCAGATGTACTCTGCTTCTGAACACACAGGCACCATTTAGTTACTATAGTTCGCAAATTCACAAGAGAGAAAAGCCTAATTCACCCTGAAAGCCATTTAAGCCCATTCCTATTATCGTATCTTGTGGCAGCAAATTTCAGATGTTGCATACATGCTGTGCAAAGAAATGCTTTGCGACAGCTCACCTGCACAAGGAAGGACATCAGTGTACACAGCACTTGGTAATTTTCTTCCGGGAGACTCTGGAGGGTTTTGCGAACAATATCCACACGCTTTTCTTCCTCTACACCTAGAAAGGAGAGCAAGTGGGGCATTTATACCAGCAAGCAAAGTCCTAGCTTTCATGTGGAGAGATGGATTGCAGAGAAAAATCCCTCAAAAGTCATACCTTGGATCCCAAACGCCTTGCAAGTCAAACGTTTTGGCTCCTGAACGCCGCAAACCCAGAAGCGAGTGTTCCGGTTTGTGCATGTTCTTTGGAACCTGAACGTCTGACGGGGCTTCCGCGGCTTCCGATTGGCTACAGGAGCTTGGAAGTCGAACAGACGTCTGGAACGGATTCCGTTCAACTTCCAAGGTACGACTGTACTAGAATTAGGACTTTTACTATGCTGCCCTGGGAAAGAGTAATACAGCCAATCTGCTGTGAGAGTACAGCACAACTCTGGGTAGAGCATATTTAGAGGAGTTTTCTGCTTTGGGATCAGGACACTCTTGGTAGCCACTCACTGTAGAAACTGACGACGTCATTGTAGAGACCATAGGTGAGGAGAGGCTCAGGCAGCTCCCGCAAGAAGGTCTTGAGAATCACAGCCGGCAGGTGCACGTCTTCATATTGCACAAAGTCCACAGGCAGCCCTGGTAAGAGAGTGGACAGGTTCAAAGCCACAACTAGAGCACCAGGGCTGAACCCCCTCCACCTGGCAGAATAAGGAACTTATCCAAAGACCGGAGGCAGAAGCATGGCAGGAGCAGGTAACACACTGTCAAAAAAAAGAGGATCAGTGGTACTCAATCCTCCTCCAAAGCAGCAATCATTAGGAGCATTGGAAGAATTGCTCCAAAAATACCAGCAACAGGATTCCAGCAAATATTAGGGAAATGGAGAGACACACACCCCAGAGAATGAAACAGAGGAAACGCATTACACATTGATCAAACATAATTGCTGTGGAAGGTTAAGCACCTACTTTATCCAGGGGGTAGAGATTTAGACTGGAATAGGTTTATGTCAAAAGGAATAAACTCCTTGGATTCCAGCCAAGTTTCAAACAGAGAGATCTATTCAGAAGTTAAAGCACGTTGTGGGAGGGCACAAGTCTAAAGTGCTAAGGGCAGATTTAGGGCCTAGACAAAAAGAATGGTGGAAAGGGGCAGTGGAGTAGCTTAAGCAGACTTCTGGAACCTAATGCAGGCACTTACCCATATTATATTTCTGCTGAACTTCTCTGACCGTCTGAGTGTTTGCTGATCGTCGGAAAATCCCCTCTGTGTTAAGAGCTGGGGACAAAGAGAAACAGAAGAGCACAGTCTCAGGGAAGACCTACCACACATAACAGCAAGTCTTTCCAATATCACAGGACAAGAACATCCTGAAAGCCACATGCACAGGGACACTTGCATGGGAACAGCTATGCAGAAGGCACTTTGAGAATTAGGTTAGTAGAATCCCTCAGCTCCCTAGTGTTCAATTTTGCTGTGTCTTTCTGAAGACCAGAATCAAATGGCAAGAAAAATAGTAAGATGGGCAGTGGAAAAAGAATGAGTCTGTGCTAAGTCATCTTAAAAGGGCAAAGCAGATGCAACAGAAGGGTGCTGTTGGGAGACAAAGGACAGTGGATGTAGCAACAAGACAAGTCAGAAGAGGGTTCTTCCTAGCTCACTCACCATGCTGCTGCAGATAGGCAACGGTCTCCCTTACCACGAGTGGAATGGGATTCTGATCCAAGCTCTTCTCCCGTAAGCTGTTGAGAAAGGAGAAGCTTAGACTCTTCCTGTCACTTCCCCCAAAGAAACATCTTTGAATCAGACATAATATCCAGTGCATCACTGGCCCTGATCTAGAAAGCTCGAGGCTGGCAAAAGTCAAGCTAACCACAGGTGCCGATTCAAGATGATTGGAAAGCATTTCCAGAACTACCCACAGATAGACTATAGGTATTACTGGTCCACCAAGAAAAGAAAAAAGATGGGGATACTCACTGCTGGAGAGAAACTCCAAACTGTTGGTTTGGCAGAGGTGGGCGTGGTGGGGTTACTTTCTGAGGCACTTGGGAGGGCTTCTGCAGGGATCTCAGATATTCATCATACCTACAGTGAGAGACAGACACAAACATGTATGTATGGAATCATTCTAACCTACACCCAAAAGTGCTAAGCTGGTGTCCAGAGTCCCATTATCCTGTAAACAAAAGCCCAGAGGCTCTGGCAGGTCACTACGCTAGTTACAAGCTATTTCTTGTAAGAAGTACTTACAAGCTACTTCTGTTACATCAGTAGCGAGGATCCTTTTTTAGCCTGAAGCCACATTCCCTTTTGGGAAACCTTCTGAGGGTCACATGACAATAAAGAGCAAACTATGCAGAGGAGAGAGTCATCTCAGCAGCTCACAACATCATACTGTATGTGCCAACAAGTGAGACTCCCAAGGTCCCTTCGCCACCCCACTCCCTCTCTGCTCACCCTGTTCTCCTCCCTGTTACAGCCTCCTCTACAGAAACAAAAGGTAAGCTAGTAGGCAAAGTGGATGATGATGATGATGATGATGATGATGATGACAACAACAGGTATAAAAGCATAATGAAACATCAAACAATAACAATCTAATCCAATATAAAAAGTCACAATAACTTTAAAACAAACAACTTATGTCAAACAAAGCAACATTAAACAATCCATCAGAATCTAATAGTAAACAGTAAAATTAAACACCAGCAAATAATTATACATGCTCTCACTTTAGCACCTGGCTTGGGATCCCCAGCTGCTCCAGTTTCACATGCTCCTCCAGGTCACTCAGGTAGTTTGCATAGAAAATCTTCCGTCCAAACTTAAAGCTGCAAGACAGGTGACAAACCAGTAAGAAAGAAATTAGGGTACAGAGTAGCAGCACTAGTACATCTGTGGGTGGCTTGTAGAGATGAGATGAAGAGGTAAAAATGGTACCGAGAACTGTGAGGTAATGCTTGTGTACCAGTTGCACCACTCTGCAGTTCCCCAACATATAGGCAGGGATTTGCCCATTGCTGAAATACCCCAGCTAGGCCTGACAATGTGCTAAAAGGTACTTCTCTGGTGCCTCAACCTGGGGATTTTGCTGACAATACAAGTTATGTCCTTTGTTATTTCCTCCTCATTCTCTGGCAGAGGCCAGGAAATATCTGAAGCAAGTCTGGGCTATTAGCCAACTAAAGAACAACAATGCAAGCAGGGGCCTGCATGTCAGGGTCAGTCACTCAGCATAAGTCAGAAACAAAGTTTATCAAACCTAATTCTTCAGTTAGACAGAAAAGAGGAAGCAACAAGCTCCAGTGAAGTACTAATCTGCAGGACAATTTCCACACTCTCAGATAGAGATCAAGAGTATGAAGGAACATGATACCCACTTTCCTCTGACCTCATAGGACTATATAATGCAATTCAAGGCACACGCTGAAAGCTTTGGACAGAAAATGGAGGGGATCTTGCAACTATGACAGGATATACCTGACATCAGTGAGCAACAGCTGTCTAAAAATGGTATGAGAGTATACAAGATGAGCTATCTATGCATATCCTTACAATGAACAAACCCTCTGGGAGCCCACATTATAGAAATTATAGCTTATAGAAATTAGAGCCAATATTGTGTTGTGACAAGCCACGGAGATGCAAAGTGGGAATCTGAACCTGCAACTGTGAGTCACTTTCTCTCTCTCTCAATCTAATCTATCTCATAGAGTTGTTACAAGGATAAAACTGTGGGTAACAATGCATGCTGCCCTCAAGCTTCATGGAGGAAGGACATGGATAAAAATGTAAAATTAAATGAAAGGTGTTATCAGATGCTGTCATCACAGTAAGTGTTTACAAATACACAAGTTACCAGCAACCTACTTAACAAAAAAGTCTCAGGATTCTGATGATAAAACCCCACTTGGCTCCTGAGGAAGCCACTCCTCCTCATACCAAAGCGAGTTCCACCACAGAGCAAAGTACCTTTGCACTTTCCTACCTGATCAAGGGCTTGAAGAGAATCAGCAGTGTCTTGATGAACATTGTTGGGTGCACAATGTACAATGCTTTGATGTTCTTCTTGTATCTAATAATGAGAGAAAGATGAGAAGCCAAGCCAACCGTTTCACCCAAAAAAGTTCCCACACAGCAATTTGACCCTTGCAAAATCCACAGCCACACACACTTACTTGCGGTCAAATTCCCGGTAGGCATCCCGCAGCCAGCTCAGGGATGGCTTGTTCTCACTGGTCAGGCCATGGTGCAAATAGACTAAGGTGTAATCACTCTCAACATACTGGTCCAATGTATACTTCAAATAGCTGAGGAGAAATGGACATACCTAAGCTCCAGAGTTTTTAAAAAATATGTATTTGCTTCTTTGCCTCCTGCAGTCACAGCATAAGGAAAGTAACATAGGTAATACAGGCACAGAGGTAGTGAATATACAGCCAGAGGTCAGATTGATGAAGGGCACTCCTAACCAAGTGCTTAAAGAATTTTGACTTATATCTTAGTTGGGGGTTAACTGGTACCCAAATTCATGTAGTCAAAATCATTACAGATTTGAATGATCAGGGGAAAGTCTCAGGTCTAATCTTCACCAAAGCAGGTGGTTCCCTCCAGCAGCACTCACCTCAGCAGTTTCACATGATCAAGCTGATAGCTGGGAGGCATCCGGCAGGCACTGAACAGAATTACTTTCCGCCCATACTTGTCGTCACCTGAGGACAAAAAATGCCACACATCACAGCAGGTTGAAAGACAAAGCATGAAGACACCACAATAGGCAAATAATGGAGCACTGCTTGTGGAGTACTCAACTATTCCAAGGTGATACTAGTGGAAAGCTCAAAGGCTCTGCTTTGTCAAAAAAGTTAACAATGCAACATGAAACTTCACCAGTATGGGGAGAAGGCTGCATTTTGAGAGAGGACCTAAGGGTGAGAAGTGGAATAGAGCAAGGCATGATGAAAAGAAATTATGAGGGGCACATACTCTTGGATCACGAGCAGACAATTTGAAATGATTCTCAAGCAGGAAACAGCCTAAAATACCCCCAGAGGAGCAGAGTATCCACAGGGTTATTCTAGTAAGCATTGCTGAGGTTTGTGATTCCAAGGTGGAGAGGGGAGGAAAGAGAACACTTCCCCCACAAACATTCAGAGAAAAGGTCACAAAGCATTGGCCTTGTCCATCATTTCCCCCCAGTGTATCCACAGTTCCATACCACCTGCTGTCCTTGTAGATGAGGAAAGAACTAGAACACAAACAAAATCAAGAACTGCACAATGACGAATTGGCCTGAAACACTATGGATCAGAAAGCAAATCAGCAGTGAGAAGAAGCCACCAGCAAACTGCAGAAGCACAAGATTTTGTGCTATCGGCCTGGAACAAATACTCTGTAAAATAATCTTTAACTTCTTCCCCAGTCCCAAATGAGGCAGATGACCTAGTAAGTCTGCTTCAGCAGTGTTACAAACTAGGCCTGGGGGTGATATATAGCTCTTGTCACATGAAAGTCCAATAAATGCCTTACCATGGGTTTTTTCTGGTTATTTCATGACAGTGAAATTACCACTAATGTGAAATTTATGACAACAGTAAAAAGCCTTTGCAATAATCTATGGCTAAGAGCAGTAATAATGACTTTTCAGTAGAACAACGCATAAACACAGGTCTTGCCTCTCTGTCTACTTACAATGAGCGGAGCTAAAAGCATTTGATAAGTAAAACAAAATTGTAGAAGGAAGCGGGTCATATTAATGAATGGCCATTAAATGCTCTGGTTGATCATGGACTTCTCACTAGAAGTTACCTCATCAGCAGCTGGTTGCATTTGACAATGTTAGCTCTATTCTAGGAACATTCATGCTACAATAAATAAATCACCCTCTCTCAGGATCAATCTCTTCACGCACACAAACCTGTACCCATGAGGAAGAAATTGTGTACCAATGACCATCTCCTATGTGTGCAAAGGTACACATTTCTGCATATGAGGAGGGGCTAGATTGTGCCACAAAGCTCTTTGGGGCTTTCACTATCATAACAGTGAAGATGTTAAAAATATACACCTTCCATGCTGCAAAGTCAGCCACCATCATTTATTACCTTTACCTCACATTTATTACCAGTACCAGCCCACTTTATACTTAATCCAGGCTCAGAGGGGAATAGAGTTTTTGTTTTTTTTAAGTAAAATAAAATAAGGAAGATGGCCTCAGGATTCTGTGAGTTCTACATACTCAAAAGAACAAAAAGCATGAAGTCTGTTCAGTACACATACTGGATGGCAAATGAAACTCATTCATGGGTGATAAAGATTTATCTAATTTAGAAGGCAACCCTTTGGTCTTCCCTCTACCCTCAACTGTCACTTAGCAGCAACCATTCCATTAAGTTACAAATGAGGGAGATGGAAAGCAGGACCATTCCATAAACTCTAAGGAATAAGCTCCTTTTGGCTCTTCTTCTCCCTGGACCCTTGCTATCCCAGTTGGTCTTCATAATAGCTTTGTAACTTTACAAACCGGTGCCAGACTTTACATGTTTTCCTCTTCATTCCTTATCACTTTCTCTCTCCCTTTCTCTGTGTTTTTAAGAAAGTAAGCAGGGACAGTCTTGTTTTTATTGATCTCTAGGGTAAGCTGCTCTAGTAGCTTTTTTTACTAAAAAGCAAGGTAGAAAAGCTTTAAATATACCAACTACAACTCATGATCCAAACAAATCAAATGCCTTCATGAGAGGGAAGTAACTAAAAGTCATGGATACATCTTTCAGTGTTTTGCTTCACAGAGCAGAGAAAGTAGGAGTGGCAGTCTCTAGTATGTTGTATATACACAAAAGGAATGACAGCCTGCATATCACAGGAACAGAAAGAGTCAATTAAGCTATGTATCTAGTATGCTACTCTACCCACCTAAAACCCTAACCATAATAAGAGATTTCCCTTCATCCTGCCTATTTTCCTCTCCTCATTTGACTTCCTTCAACACATAAACAGAGATTATGTAGCTATAAAACTTACTCCACCCCCCCAAAAAATATGCAAACAGCTGCAGCATGGGAAGTCAAGGACATGCTTAAGGTAGAGGGGGGGGCACCAGGTAAATGCCATGGGGATGCAAGGATGATATACCATCACATGAACACATGTGAAGCATGCGAAGGTAGAAGACATTGCAGGACAACATGGCACCCACCAGAGACAGAAAAAAAGAAGAGCAATGCAGAGGTCATCTGGAACGACCGTACAAAACTACAGCCAGATCACAAGACCAATGTCCAACAGTTTATCCCACGGTTGCCCAAAAATAGAGTACCTAACCAAGGGACTTCCAAACAGCTTCCCATATATTCAATGGCCACAAACTGTGTGTACGCATATCCAGTGTACGCACTGGAGTAGATTGCAGATGCTCCTAGCAGTACATTGAATGGTGTCAAAATCTTGTGACCAATGTAGTAAAATGGTGCTCCTATGAGATATTTTGCAGCCTTGCACCCCTTTTTGATGAGAACAAAAATAATTCCCGGTACGCATGATGGTGCAATATATCATGAAAAGAAACCCTATTAGGTTGGAAGAAGAAATGCTCCTGCCCAAAGAGGTCTGGGTGGCAAGACCTGAATGGTAGTATCTGTTGACTCTGCAAACCACAGCTGTTCTATTAAGAAATGGAGAATCTTCCTTTGACAAAGAGGTAGTTTCAGACAATATGAATTTCTGTAATGGGAAATGGGAAAAGAACCTGAATAGATTAATAACTCAGGTGTGGAATTATAGTAGTCACTTTCACCAATGCAACATTTTATGATAATTAGTCCTATGCAGATGTTTTTGAGAAATTGATTTTTAAAACTTGGCAGTGTATAAATAGAACACAATGCAAGATCAAACTATATTGACATCTACTGCTTTAGAGCAGCATTTTCCAACTGGTGGGTCAGAAAACAACATCAGGCAGATGGGGTATTTAGGATGGATCTTCAAATTGCCAGCTGTAAGTGTCAAGAGAAAGGAACACATATAACTATGGTTCCACTTCAAGGTCTTAAAGTTGGGAAAGACTACAACTTCAGGTCAAACCTAGCTCCTCAGGACCCGGACAATTAAAAGCCAGTTTATGGTTACACTTGCCCCACAAGCTTCTGGTTACCTGAAGTAAGTATCCCATATGAAATCTCAAATCAAGTGATGAAGCCTCTTAATAGTCACTGATTCTTTCTAGCTCATCTCCTGATTGTTCTATTTGTTTTTCATAGACTAAGCAAGGCTTATTTCTATAGGCTTCTACTTCTAGACCAAGCTCTAGTCAAGGTAGCATAACATTCCATTAAATGCAAATATGCACCCTAACACTATTCTTGTATGACACAACCAGATAGAGTCCCATCAGTCCATGCAGGGAGCATTCAGCATGCACCCAACAGTAAGCAATTATTCAACTGCCTTTGTCCCAAACGGGTTTGCTGTAATTATCATAAAAGCTCCTGCTTAAATCTGAAATAAAGCCCCTGCTGGCGTTGAACCATAAAAATATTGTATGCATTAGAAATTCCACTGCACAGTTGTGGTGTGTGGCCCTGTTGTTACCAGGTACAGCTGCAAAGCTAACAATAACAACAACTTCTACAAGACTATCTTCAAATAAACTAAAGCACTTCCATGTTTCATTCCATTATCTAGAAAAATGCCCAGGCCATTTGAAATTTGAGCAACAAGTCCAAAGTGTGATAAACTTCAGGAACTCTATGAAACAATAACCCATGTGTCAAGTTTCTATGCAAATCAAATGAGAAAAGATATTTTTTAATGACCTGATTAATGCCTCAGGTGTGGAATTACAGTACTCATCTGCACATGGCAGCCCATTTAACTAGAAATGTTCTGTTATTGTAATAAAAAGTGTAAAATACCCTAGGTTATAACACAGCACCATTTTATAATTCACACAGACACACACATACACACTGACATTCTCCCCATCTAGGAAAACATGTCCACGTCACATTGTTGGACGTGCAGCAGTTCTTTTATTCCTCTGAGAATACTCTGGTTAACAACCGCACTTCCCATAGCAGGGATTCTTTCCATGTAGTGGGGGGAAATACATCTAAATTAACCTAAGTGAGTAAGGAAACAACAGATTGTTTTAAAAAGCCTCAGAGAAGTTCTCAGAATGCAGAATGTGGAGAACTGCATGTTGCAAATAACACAGTGAGTTGTCACAGCTCTTGATTAAACAGGAAGCTGCTCCTTTTCCTGCACTATCAAGTTGATGACACAGCCCTTAAAGTGATTGGGGAAATGGCTTGAGACATAACGCAGGCAAAGAAATTAAAGCAATCGCGGTATAGTTAAGAGCCAGCACCTCTTTGTCTAGGGTATTTATATTTCTGAAGGTACAAAAGCATTATAAAAAATACAAAAGCGGAAACAGTCTTGTCATCATAAACAAGGCTGACAATTTTCAGGGTTTGTGGCAGTTCAAGGTGCTTCCCCTACACCACTTCTGTGATCAAAGTGACCTTCATGGAGCTTCTAGATATATGCAGAGGTGCCTGAGGAAGCCAAAAGTCAATGGCTACATTTAGAGGTGGAGAACTGGGGCATTTTTCAGCCACAACTCAGTTCTAGCACCTCTCAAGTTGCCATTATAAGAGAACGAGGGAGGTGTTCATGAGTTCTGGCACCTCTTCTTCTAGAAAAATAGCAC